AATCTGAAAGTAATCTGCATTAATTAATCATAAAATGTTATCTTATCCTAATCAAAGTCACATAGTGAAACACAGAGTAAACACAATGTGTTTAAGATAATAACACAACTATATTAAACAGACAAACAAACATTCGCAGTGCTGATGAAAACATATTCAATTCATTATTAAAGTTTGAGATCATTGTTAGGTATTATAATTTGCATTTAAAGCATCAATACAAACCACAACTTTTATTTTATGTCAATCTTAATACCGTAATAACACCTTTCTGTAAGTGATATTCTCATCTTCATATATTATATTTATAGTACTGTATATTTGATCTCAAAAGCGATGTCCTTGTTATAGTTTTGGATACAATTCTCATTGTTTGTTTAACAAATTCTCAAAAAACTGGGATTTTAAAGACACTTTTTGCAGTTTTTACTATTATTATTCAGTTAAACAAACTGTTATTCAGCAGCCGATCCGTCTGATGTCTTTTCACTCTCTATTGCCAAAACGTTTCTTTGTGGCCAACATTTACTGTATTTACTGAAATCTCATTTACTGTAAACACACTTGGGTGTCTTCCTGCAGCAGGAAACACAAACACTTTGGGACTTGTGGGGGGGGATTATATCCTGGGGACATCTGCTCTTCTTAAACATTGGTTAAAAAGGAAAGTGGAAATGTTTAGCCTTCCAACTCAAAAACAGTAAAAGGGCAAAAGGTAATGTATTGAACCATTACAGAGAAATATAAGAATAGACAGAACAACCAGTCGATATGCGACCAATCAGCAGTCACAGTCAATGTGTTTGGACATTTACTTGTTTATTTACTTGGTGATTTGCTGCATTTGTTCCTCGTAAACACAGCATTATGTTTGGTGCTGTGTTGCTGTGTTATCTGTATCCTGTTTTCTCAAACTTCCCCTCAGTGATCATGGCAGTTTAAAGTGTCCTGTCATCTAATCTGATCTATAGCGTTGGTATGTAGAATATAATACGTACACAGGTGAACTTTTATCATCTCCACTGTGGCAAGTGACTGCAAACCTCCATTCCACTATACGAGAAACCCCGATGTCAAACACAACACCTGATAGCAGCGGATAGGTTTCTCGCTGCATACCTCCTCCAGGTGTACGCCTGCTTTAGGCTTGCTTTTTTGGGTGGGGGCTGCCAAATGGTGCGTTCAGGATATGAGGAGGCCCTATAGATAACCTCAGACTGCCCTCGAGAGGATCATAATGTCAAGAGAAAATATGGAAAGTAACACCTCAACGCCTCGCTCTCCTGATCAGACTTGATTTTGGAAATGATGAAGAGTGTTCTGAGCTCGCTGAAAGAGAGGTTGGAGTTCACACATGCCTGCGTGTAAAGTGTAAAAACCCTTGAGAAACTGGTGTTCGATTCTTTAATAAAAAAACTGTCACTTGCACACTTGTATTTATTGTAAGGTATCCTATGTTTATATACATTTTTAGTAAGCAGTAGTAGGAAGTTTCTCTATTACAGTGTATTCTAACTTATTCTGTATATTTAATATTGTTTATTCTATAGATATGATCTATCTATCTAATATATCTAATGGAATTTATTCTCATCTAATCCAATCAATCCTCAAGTATAATCAAATGTAATCTAATCTAATCAAATCAAATCTAATCTAAAATAATCTATAACTTGACTCATTCTGTATAAAATGGAAGAGTTCTAATTAGATGTGAAAATACCCTTCGTTATAAATTAATAAAAGTTTAATTAAAAAAAATAATACTTCAAACCAGTGAACGTGTCTGGATAAAAAAATGAATATACCTGATGTGAAAATAACCAATCGGTTTCTTACTTAAATTGATAATTTCTCCGTGTAGGAGGACCCCATTGCCTCTTAATCAAATCAAATCAAATCAAATCAAATCAAGTTTTATTTATAAAGCACATTTAAAAGCGATTTTTGGTCGAGCCAAAGTGCTGTACATGTAATAAAAACACTTTACTACAATCACAATAAAAGACAATAAATTACAACAGATATATAAAAAACACAGGGAATAGTCAGGAGTCGTGCTCCGCTCTGACTAGAAGGCCAGGGAGAAGAAGTGTGTTTTTAGAGTAGATTTAAAAACCCCTAGGGTCTGGGCCGACCTCACATGGAGGGGCAGAGTGTTCCAGAGCCTCGGGCCAGCTGCTGCGAAGGCTCGGTGCCCTCGGGTTTTAAGCCTGGTCTTGGGCACTATCAGCAGCAGCTGGTCAGCAGAACTTAATGCTTAAAATATGGCTAATAAAGAAGTTAGCAGTGTTTTAAGACAAAAATACTTTTCTGTCCTGCACAATCTTAGGCCCCGCTCACACGGGACCGTTTGCGTTTATGCACAGTATGCGTATTCAAAAAAGTCTTCCGTTCACATGCATTAGTTTCATTTAACGTGTCTGTTCAAACGAGGCCGCTGGAAACGCTGTAGTACATATGCCGGGACTGTAAGTGGCGCTGTAACTTCCGCCAAAATACACCAAAAGCAGCGAAGAAGAGCAGCCCAGCAGCCCCCGCCGCAATGTTGCCATGGCTACCCTTCTGTTCATGCCCCGCGGTGTATTTAGCAACATGTAGTTCATGTAATTCTCCATGTCCACTTGTTGCTGATGGTTGTGGTAGAGGAGCTGTAGATTTTGCACTAATATCTGTAGCATGGTCAGTAGTAGTAGCACTAGCAGTAGCTACTGACAGGAGGAAGTGTGTGTGGCGATTGCTGGTATTCAGCGGGATATAGTCATTTCCTCAGCATATGGATAAATGCAACGGGGAAGTTAACTGAAAGAAACCGAATCTGTGGATATTGCATCGACCGACCAAGAAGCACGTCTCCGTGGAGAGGACGGCTCAGAAAGAGAGATATTCTCTACAAACACCGGGTGAGATCGCTCCTTTGTCAATATAATGGATCAATGCATGAAATCTGACTCTGTTTATTTTGTTTAAGGAGTATATTGGGCGTTAACAATTCTGGTTTGCCTTTTATAATATTATTTCATTCAAGAACCCCTTGTGCGTTTAATTAACACAGCTATTTTTGATAGTTGCTGCAGGAGAGGTGGGGAGAGGTGGGGCGATCGTTATTTTTTCAGGAAATATTCGTATCGAGGTGATTACACGGACTCGGTTGACTCCCCAGAGCGTTTCGTTTGCAAATCTATCCACCTTGGGACCCGTTATCGTTTGTGGGGTCAGTTTCTATCGGCCTCGTGTAAATAATAGGGCTATACGCACGCGAAACTATGCAGATACAAGCAGTTTTCTCTTCGTGTAAACGGCGCCTCAGGCAGTCAAATGAAAGAAACAACTCATCAGAGATTCATCTGAACACGGCAGCATCACAAACATGCTACACATAAAGCGGGAACAATGAAATCTGTGTTTTCAAAGCCTGCCGAGGAACGCTAGGGTCTGAATCGTTTAATGACGGTTGTTTTCTGAGCCTGTCAGAAGACCAGCATAACATTTCTATCACGTCCGTGACCCTCCAGGTCTAAATATACAGCTGGGATTTACATCCAGGGGGAATGAAATACTGCACATCTTATAGGAGTGTTTTGTTCTTTCCCTGTCGAATGGTAGATGAACTCTGAGTCACGTTAAAGGTCAACGACAAACATGATTTCTTTGACAAAGAACAGATATATCTATAGAGAACGAGACCATGTACACACAACTCTACAAAGTTTCACATTTTGCATAAAATAAAATACACACATGCTAAATCCCACCAAACGTAAAGTTGGTAAATGAGTTTATATGGCCTCAAATTTGACACAATCCTTTTTTAAAGTGATTTTTTTCCCTCAAATGTTCTTCTCATTTGTTTCCTAGGAGGTCAGTAGCAGTTGCTCAAGACAATGTGAATCACGCGAATGCAAAGAGACAAATGTGTCACACAAAGGAGTGTTTGTACGATTAGTCGCAGTCTGCTGTGGAGTCACGAGGGCGCTCTGTGACACAGCGCAGACACAACACAGACATCATGGGAAAGCACAGCAACATCTCGCTGCAATGCACACTCTAATAAGAAGTAGTCGGAAGATAATTATGTCTTGTTTCGATATGAAGACGTCTTTTTTTTACAACATTAGCTAACAAGAAACAAGTCTAAAAAGTTGATTGCATGGTTCATCAAACTTATATATGTCCGGCAGTGATTCAGTCAGTAGGGGCTTGGACTGGGAGCCGTAGGGTCGCCGGTTCAAGACAGACCTAAATATGGAGTGTGGACTGCTACTTGGAGAGGTCCAAGTTCACCTCCTGCCCTGCCGTGGTGCCCTTGAGCAAGGCACCGGACACCCCCCTTCCCCCCCCCACTCCCATTGCTCCCTGTACAATAGCTGCCCACTGCTCCTAGTACTAGACTCCTGGTACTAGTATGGGTTAAATGCAGAGAACAAATGTCACTGTGTGTGCTGTGTGCTCTGCATGTGAGACCATTACAGAGGGTTTCATCCCTCCCAATTCTATTCTATTCTATTATATCCCAAAATCTAGTGGAAAACAACTACAAAGCTTTTGTTAAGGGAATATGTTGGATTTCAAATAGAATTGGAAGTAGGAGCTAAGTATTGTTTTTGTAAGTTTTTGTGTTTCTCATATTTTCCTACGATACTGTTATGATTGGCTGTGAATAAGAAAATATGAAGGACAGACCATCTATTTCTATTTATGGTAGGTAACATAAGATTATTTTCTTCTCCCTGCTCCTTTTCGGGTATGGTGTGTTTATAGAGACATGTTTTGCAAATAATTGTTATACATTAAGTTGTGCATACCATGAACAGAAGTGAATTGGACTTCCAGAATGTTGCACAAGTAAGAAAACGATTACGCTTACTTACTTAAAGAATGAAGGTTAGGGTTATTGGTGAGTTTCAAGGAATCTTTTTAGCTTGTTCCTGTGCAAAAATATGTGAATGGATATTTCCCTGTTGACCCATTATTCATCAATCAAAGGAAATCTGACTCACCTCAGCTCCAGAGTACTTGCCGGTCCGGGTCACCAGGTCTTCAATTGACACATTTTGGGCTACAGGCATGTTGCGGAACAGGAGAGAAAATATTTCCTGTCGGGTCGGAGCATCTGGAAGAGGAACGTAGATGATTCGGTCAAGGCGACCTGGACGCATCAAAGCCTGTGGGACAGAACAAAAGACTCTTAAGCATCTAAGCCTTCATCACATATTTTACAAATGGTCACACACATCAAGTTAAGAAATACAAAACCAAGCATTATTGAAATCTTCTTTGGCTCACCCCGGGTAGCACATGTTAAATTCTTCTTTTTTTTTTACTTTGTTCATTGGGTTTTTTCAATAGCATACAGTTATTTTATCCGAGCATGTATCAAAAGTAAGTAAACAAATCGTCACTTTATAGAAAAATAGGTAGAGTAACAATGTAAATACTGCTTAACACCAGGGCAAACAAAATCCCACACAGACAGACAAAAACAAAAACAAAATAGAAAACCAGTCAGCTAAAACAAAAATGTCAATAATAAACAATACATGTCAGTATGGCAGCAAGCACATGTTAAATTCAATTCAGACTTTTTCCAGCACATTTTGCACATGATCACTTCAAGGTCACAGTAGTACTGTCAAGAACTGCGTCTCTGACCTATGACATCCTTACTGCCTGCTTGTTACGGTGGACATCTAGTAACTGGCTCTACTAATGAATTGATTGCACACCTCTTCAGACAGGACCATACACCAAATGCCTAAAATGCAAACTGTGAAATGCACGTTTTCCACTTGTAGCAGTCAGCGTGGAGACAATGTTTACGTTATCTGATAAACCCTCCACTTCCTACAGATCACATCTCCGTGACCCCAAAACAGTCCTTGAGTACCCAAAGCTGCCGCTGTCTCGCTTGTCAGACGTCATTAAGTGGCAGGCGCCTCTCAAACACAGACAGGCAACAGACAGACAAATAGGCCGTGTCTCCATTTGCTCTCCTCAGCCAGGCTGGGACAAAGTGGTTTGGTGTGGTATTCTTTGGTTTAGGGTGTGTGTCCATTTGACCAGCCAGCAGGCCAAAGAACAGCAGGATAGGAAAATAGCAAAATACATTTGATTGCCGTGAATTAGCATTTCATTTTAGTGCTCGAATGAAGAACCAACAGAAAACAAACATCAACTGGAACTGACAGTTTCATTGTTGAGCTTCCTCCAAGACTCAGTGAGGCCTGGTTGTAAAGACTGTGGAGCCGCTGGCTTGGGGCCAGACAGGCCACAGCGGGGCTAAACCCCGGCCAGCGGAGACGAGGCAGGAGACACACGCAGACGCAAGCCATGCAGGAGGTCACGTCAGGAGCGATCAGTGAAGGTTGGAGGGACCGCACCAGCAGCCTTTGAACTCTTGTATACGTAGACATCACACTGCTATTCATGATTGTCTGAATGCACCTCATCACGCAGGCTGGACTGCCTACTTTCTTCTTCAATATGCTTAGTCTAGTAACATGTATAGTATATTCTTATATTGTTAACATAGGACAATCTGCATAGGTTAAGAACTTCAGCAGGTTTGCAGAAACGCAACAAAATGCTGAAAAGACTATTTTGCCTATTTCATACTCGATTATTAATAAGGTTATTTATCAAGCTACAATTTAAACAAGACAAAAGAATGTCAAATACAAGCCATTTAAAGATGTGTACTTCTCTTGGAAATTGTCATGGGTATTATCACTGTTTTTCTAAAATGGTTTAAACTCAATACCTAACCATTTGGTATAAGAAGTAAATGAAAGTTGAACAAATATTTAAAAAAGATACATACAATTATCCAAAACAGACATAAAGGAAAGATTGTTTTTACCTATTTAACTATCTTTTAACCTCAAGTTTTAAGAAAACATAGACAGAATGTGAATCGAGAAAAACGGGAATTTTGCAAATCCACAATTCCATTATTTGGGAACAACTCTAAAAATATTTGATAAATATATTAGAGCACCAGAATAGCTAATAAGGTTAATTATCGCGGAGAAAGACATATATGGCAACAATGAGCCAAACCTTTTTCAAACCTCTTGCCTTAGATATTGTGATGGGTGTTCTCACTGTTTCCTGACATGTTATAGAAAGCTCTAAAAAGTAACGGAAAGTTGGAAAACACAACCAAAAAAGACAAATAAATGATCACAATTGACCTACATGTATGATTGCTTTTTCCAAGACAATAATTCACTTTAAACTTCAAGGTGCCTAGAAAAGAATTGGAATTTGAAAATCACATTAAGACCTTCAAAATCATCTGATGTAATCAAAAGCTCAAACATAGGTAGGAACGTTTCTGCCAGCTGCTGCTGCTTGAACCGTTGACAATCAACCACCATGCTAAATAAAAACATTGTGAGTTGCATCTGAAACCATGCACTGGTCTTTACCATATTAAAATCCATCTGCTTGCAAAGTGCGCCAGATGTAAATTTAAGAGTTTTATGGTTTATTTGTTTCCCCTCTGGATAACCAATTCCCGTTAACTGGGGCGATGGACAGCTTTCCTGCCTTTTATCTGCTGCTTTCTTGTGTTCCTGTGTATGTCTATGGAACACGAGAGGACGGAAACTGGAGACAAACATTAGTAGCTACCCTTAGGTAACCACAACAGAGTCTTTGGCTGACAAAGGAGCAATGGATCATGGGAGGAAATGTTCTTGTTTTTCAGGTCTCTGGATTCTTCCATTCGTTTGAGTAGAGGCTCTGGCTGTGGGTGACGAACCATCGGCGTAAAACCTATGGAGAGGTATAACGTCACCGTAACTTGAAGCAGGGAAAGGATGGCTGCTGGGGAGACCTGCTGTGATATTGATGGATAGCAGGTCCAAGGGCATTACATTAAATTCAGAAGGGCTTGAGACCTGGGGAACTTGATAAGATGTGTCTGGCAAAACAACTATAAAACAACACATGTGAGAGTTATTTTGATGTCAAGGTTCTTCTCACAGGTTAGAGGGTTATGTGTGTGTGTGTGTGTGTGTGTGTGTGTATGTGTGTGTGTGTGTGTGTGTGTGTGTGTGTGCAGTGGGGATTGCAGTCCTTTGTTGTTTGTGACAGCAGGTAGAGCCAGTCTGCACTATGCGGAGGACGTGCCAGGGACACTTCCTGAGTTGCTCTCTGTGGAAGAGTCTCGTGGCTGCATGCCAACACAAACCTGCTGACCTTCAGCTAAAAAAAAAGTACTCATAGGAATCAGAATCAGAATTGAGTTTGATGCAAAGTATGTTTAAACATACAATGGATTCGCATTGCACTGACCTAAGACAATGAGTATGGGTTAGGGTTAGGGTTCAGTTGTGGCATGATTTCACTTTGAGTTTCAAGGAATCGTTTGTTTGTTCCAGTGCAAAAGTACAGATCAGACCGGGGTCTTTATCAGCCAACACAAACCTGCTGACCTTCAGCTTGAAAAAACCCCTCAAACGAACAGATACTCCCCTGCACACCAACAAACACATGCATGTAGAGTGCGCTTGAATAAACAATTCTGGTTCATTTTTTCTGTAAAGATGCCGACCGGCTACTTCATCAGCAGTTAATTCTCCCTGCACACATAATGGAGAAGTGCCCGTGGCTTCCAGGCGCTCGGGCTCCAAGGGTTCCAAGGCGCTCCCAAAAAGCATGAGCCGACCCTCAGCTTTGAGACTGCTAAACTCATCTGACTGCCCTGGAGGGAAAGAAAGCTTTTTATTTTTTTCTTCTTTCCTCTCAGCAAGAGCAGGGGGCCCATCCATCACTTAACAAGATACACTTCCTGTTCTCAAGGATCCGGGGGTGGGGGTAGGAGGAGGAGAAGGAGGGAAGGAGAGTGAAGAGAAGGAGGAGGTAAAGGGGGGGGGGGGGGGGACCCCGAGAGACAAATACTTGGCTTGGCATGTCGGGCAAGCGTTGACGGGCTCCTTTCGTAACGGCATCATTCCACCTGAAGTCTTGGCTCAACTGGCGGAGAGCAAAATAAGTGAAATAGAAAAGAGAGGGGACAAAAACAGTGATACCAAAAGACCCAGACAACCCACTTAAAAAGGACTCCAGGAACCGAAACCCTACAAACAAACACAGATAAGTGGCGTGAGAGACAGAAGAACCACCATCAACACAAAGCAGTTGGGAAAATTATCCGTTTTCCTTACACGAGTCTGCATGACAGATCACATCCACCTTGTTGCACCACTGACATGATAAGCATCATTACACATGAGCCATTAGTAATTAGACAATGCCCCTAGGTAAAAAATACCAACTAGCTTTAAGTCAACACTGAAGCTTTTATACATTACTAAATCTGGGCGCTGTGGACAGACAAGCAGTGGTGAGAAAGTTGTGAAAAACAAGTGAGGCCTCGGCTGCAGTCAGGCGGTTCAAAACACACAAAGAGAGAAGCGAAGAAAAAAAAAAACCTCATCCGCTCTCTCCGCGGCAAGTTTCACTGCCGATAACAACAGTAATCATTCCAGGCATTGCAAGCCTCTTCAAGAAGTGATTACCCCCTAATGACAGATGACTTCCTATCTGCGAAGGCCAGTACCTCTCCCTAACCAGTGAGGAATGCTGGGAATCTTCTCCTCGGAGCGCTGTTGCCGAGCACATTCTTGGCCAACTTCAAAATCTGACCTGCTCCAAGCTACGTCTACCGACTGTTTACAAACGGACGCCCCCGCAATTCAAGGTGTCTTATTCTTAGAATGGATGCTTAGACACGGTGCGGCTGAATCAAGATCAGATTCTTACTCACACTACCTTCAGATCAAATGAAAGGAAACACTGGGTCCATGAGACTGAACATGGTGACTGAGTTCTTCCCTGCACATCTGGTGAAGTCTCTCTTTTCTTTAAAAACGATTTTTGTTGGTGCTTTTTCCAACGTGCAGCATGATATCAGGCTGTCTGGCTGAATAAGTGGCTTGCCTGAGGAGACATGAGTTGACTTTGTTCCCTGCCTGAAGGCATTTGCTGTATGTGGTTTCCTAACCTGTCAGTCTGCAATCCTCAGCCTCGGTGAGTCATTCTGACTCTGAGATGGGCCACCCTGGATTTATGCAGAACACACAGTGAACACAACATGTGGAGGGCATGATGGGAAGCAAACTCTCACAGAAAGGTTCAGAGAGGTTATCATCAGGTT